ATATGTAAGAATTCTCTTATTGAATTTATGATAAAATAGTTAAACTAGGAAAGAAAAAGCATCCTATATAGATGCATGCACAAACACTGAAGACAATCATTATGTAAGAATTAATTCATTTTTCCAGTTATTAGCATCTTTTGGGGAAAAAAATAACATTAAACTTATTTTCCACCTTTCAGGTCTATTTGGAAGGAGTGCACCACCAAAAGCCAAAATACCATGTCACTGTATTAATTATTGGAATAGGCTTAATAGCTGGTATTACTTTGTTTTTGCTTCTTTCACTTCTATTATGGAAGGTAGGTTTTCAATTTCATTGTTCTCAAATTAGGAATTCACAGTTTTGGAGGATCTTTGGATTCACTATTCCGGCTTAACAAATAAAATAATAATTTATTATCTGTCCTTTCTAAAGAAACAGAACTCCTAATATAGTGTGTTTTCAAAAATACTTATCCATTTTCATTCGTTTTATCTTATACATATTCTACATTTTGCATTATTCAATACTATAAACCCCTTCCCAATTTTTTTGTGCCATCTAATGATTTATGTAATTAATTTAATTTAAATTGAATTGTTTTTGTTTTTTAATTTAACACCACTTGACACATGATCAGTAATTACCTATAATATAGTTGCTTGTCAGAGTAAAATGATGTAAACTACTACATAAATGCTAAAATATCATGTGCACAATGAACTAAGAAAACAGTGAAAGAAAAGCTGCTCTACCATGCAGTTAAGATATTGTTAGCTACCTTTACCTGCATGCAGACTTTCTCTATCATTTTTCCCGGGAAGTGTACAAATGAAACAGATTAAACTGCAATGTCTTATTACCATTTCACATTTTTTAAAAACACTGAATTCTGTGGACAGTTCGGTCTGCTTGTTCTTACTCCTTGCGTCAGGAGAGCATTAAAAAGCAGCTCCTTCTTTTAATTGATGACTACCATTTGATTAATTAGTATGACAAAACAATGACAAATACAATCTGTTAATAAGCACTATATATAGATATTTTATTTTAGTTACACTGCTTAGATTTGATGACATACGTGATTTTGGAATCTGTTCATGTATTTCAGATTGGCTTCTTCAAAAGGCAATACAAACCAGTTCCTCAGGACATGAATAGAAGAGACAGCTGGAGTTTTACAAGTGGCAACAAAGAAGACTAGGAGGACAAATAAAACTGGTTTTGAAATGAAGAATTTAAGGTTTGGGTTAATTCACAGGAGAAACACCAGTGAAACTAAAAGTGGTCATGAGTTCAATTGCTCTTACAAAACAACCCTTTATTTCCTAGATCTGTATTGACATCTACATCTTAATGTTCAGTTATTTTTATAATGTGAAAATGGTAAAACTATTTCTGTTTATAAAAGTCTTACAATTATATTTGAAATACCATCTTGGTTTCAAACAGACAGCAGAACACTAAAGATAAAGAGAATAACAGTTACTTACTGGAATGAAGATGTCTCAGAATGTAAAGTGTGACCAATCCTGGAAAATAAGATCTCAAACATTAACGTGAGTTGTTTTATGCATTTTCAAATTTCAGCAATCTTTTGATTAGACATTCGAGAAGAAATCCTCCCTCATCCTGGTTTGGCAGTTTTACAAGGGTACATTAGCTTAAATCAACAGAAGGACCATAACTAGAATGCACAGACATAGAAAACAGCTCTCGGAAGCTCTCTTGGGCTTCTAAAGGAAACCTCAAAAAGCCTTGGCTTCACAGACACAGCTCTACAGTATCGGAGATACTTAGTCAGGCAAGCCAGAGCCAGGAAAGCCAAAGGTAGATTTACAACAGGGAATTCTGTGTGGTAGCCTGGACTTGTAGCACAGAATCCTCTGTCAGCTGTAGAAAGAGTAATGTATAGGAGATCATAAGTTGTAGCCATCTGTAACATGGTACTTGCAAAAATGACAGAATTAGTTGTTTTGTCCTTTCCTCAAATACCAGTGCCATGATGTTTTGGATTTCTGCAGTAAAATATTTCTATATGATGGGGGTTTTTAAAGTAAAATATTTATTTTTATTTATTTGAAGATTTTTTTAAATAATACTTAGCATAGTAGCCTTTAGTACTATTATTCTTCCAGTAACTGAAAAAGACAGACTTCACATGATGAGAAAACAGAGATACAAATGTACCCCACTGCACTAAAAGCCAACTGTACTGGGCCAAATTTTATCTTTAGATTGTTCATCTAAATGTATGTAAGAAGCCATTTGGAGAGTTAATATGGGTTCTTGTGAAGTTGTTAGTTAATGATCATCTAAATTGGCATCTTCAGAAGCAACTGAGTAGAAAGGCAAATGACTGAATAGAAATATGGTTTAAACCACTGATGTGCTACTACAGGAAGTTTCTTCAGCTAGATAAGTTTACACTGCCACCTAGCTTTGGTGAAATAAATAGTACAGTCCAGGAGGAAAAAAAACACCTTGACTGCTCCCCAGTACAACCACAGAATCTACGAAGTCATCAATAACTAAATTTATTGTAACAGCAATATGTAATAAGGCCATTCTTGCCCTGACTTTGATGTCTTTCTGAACTGTAAGGAGAAACAAGTTTAATACATACAAACACTTTGAAGCTGCACCATCATATGACATTTAGTTCAAAAACGATACGTAGTGTCTTCAGCAAACACTTTGCAAATGGGTTATATTTGGTGCCAGAAAATCCACACTGTCCACAGATTAATAAGGCACTGGGGACCATTTTGTAATTTCCGCTCGCTTAATTTGATGCCAAAGTTGTGGATCCCTCTAAAGTAACTTTTGTCTCAAAAATCGTAGGTAGTGTAAGGACAAATGAATGTGTATGTATTTATATATATGTATATCAAAAAGCGTGTGAGGAATGTGAAGAATGAAATACTTTCTTGCAAGTCTACGAAACATATAAAATGTTCATCTTCCAAATGGCTTTAGTGATTTTTTGCACTTTAACCAAAATGGCTTTGAACAGAAATTGGTTTGAGATTACAGCATATAAATATACCTCAAATGCTGGAAAAAGCATTAAAATTCTTTTTAGTACAAACAATGCAAAGAAGTGAAACTAAAGCATTTTATTTATCTTTGAGTTAGTTTACATAAGTCAGTAAATGTGATAATGTTGCCTTGGAATGCTTTCTATTCAGATTTTGTAATGAACATGTAAATGTTGGTTTCCTGTTCTTAAGATATGAAGCAAAAGTCAATTCGTTGTTAGAAACAAGGTTGACAAAAATAAATGTACACTGTCTTAATGGTGGCAAAATTATAAAGAATCACTTGATTTTACTTTACTAAAGAGAACTCCAACAAGTTGAGCATGAATGCTGTTTCTTTTGTAAGTTCTTTTGTGAATTTTCAGTTATGTAATAAAAACAGTTAAATCTACTCCACGTAGCTGGAATATTCTTCTCATACACCTTCAGGAAGCTTAGTTTAAATTGTCATAAACATTAAAATATTTGGTGCAATACAGTAGCAAATACAGCAACATAATAGACTACTCACTGTGACTCAGAAAAGCCATCAGCTGAAATGAGAGGATCCCACTGAACATAGGAAAATCCTTTTCCCCACGAAGATAGCCCAGAAGGGGAGCTCAGAGAGGTGGTGCATCTCCTTCCTCAGATGGCTTGAGATCATTTTGAATAGTCGGGAGAAACCAGTGTTGACCTTGTAGCTGGCCAATCTCCTGTGCAGCTACTTGACCTTGTAGCTGGACAGGAGATTGGGCAGGGGCCCTGTCAGTGCCCCGTTCAGTCTGAAGGATGCTGTGATCCTGCTCTGCCATCATTGCCCCAGTGCCAAGCATAACTGTAGCTGCAATGGTCCTATAATGATTACATCTGAAAGAGGCATTTATACTGTCTATGAATTTGGCTTCTACTACTGGCCACGTTTGTCCACAGAAGCTGCATGAGGTTTCCAACAAGTAACAGCTTGTTCTGAGAACACAAGTAGCCATCTACAATACTTGTGTACCTTATTTACCACCAGTAAGAATTTTTCACGAGACTTAGAATGGAGTAAAATATACAGCTCATGCAAGTCTTGAAAATACAGATCCGATCCCATATAAGGGGATTTAATGAAACCTTAAACGACTGGATTTCACAGTATACTGAACTACTTACAGAACAAAGACTTGGAGCAAACCTGTGCCAGCCATGAAACAACGCTGCTTTCACACCATTGTGCATCCACCTGTTTCATAACAATTCACAGACAAGAGAACAGAACCACATGCTTAGCACTGCAGACAAACCCACCAGGCTGCTACTTTTCATCATCTTTCTGGAAACTGGCTCTTCCTTTGAGAATCTGCTCTAAATTTGCATTCATCTCAAATAATGTAGAAAATATGTAAGAAGACACCTAAAAAAAAATAAACACTTACTTATAAAAATATTTATGCCTTTTAAGATAGTTACCAAAATTTGAGTCAATGAGAAAAGGTTATTTATCACAACTTTATTCTCAGCAACAGCAAAAACTAGAGTTAATATTGTTAGCTCTACATTACATTAAATACTTCAATTTTTTTTTTTATTTTGTACAATGAGTAGTCTTTAAAATACCTTTCAACAAAAATTACACGTCACCATGTTCTTTTTTACTACTGTTTGACTAGAAACCCATTTGAAAACAAACATTAAGGAAACATTGTAAGTGATACCTAGAACTGGAAATACCTGATCTACGCTTTGCCACTACTCTTCAGTGTGAGGACTATCTTATCTCCACTCACTAGTTCTGTTTGAACTGAGTAACCCGACAAAATGGTAACAACAGCCAACTCAAAAATACTTCATATTAGATATACTGCAGAAGCCTGAATAATTTTAAAGAAAACAAAAGACTTTCCATCTATAATGACAGATTATTTCAGAACCCAAAATTTATTAAAGTAATCCATTTAATCATTTTTTTGATTTTTTTTTGTTAAGCCTAATGAAGTTTTTTCACAGTAAAATATAACAATAAAAATATATAATTTGATAAAAATTTTAAACTAGAAATGTAATAAACATCCTTCCTTTTACAACTGAGTTCAATAAGTGCAAGAATGGGACATAGAAAGAAGAGCATACAGGTGTGACAGGGACTTATAAAGAACATTCAGTGTATCCCTTCTATATGCAATTGCACGTTGCTTTGGAACTCTCCAGATCATCGGTGTTCACTCCATAGAGATTAATAAGTCGAGGATGCACCCTGCGAAGTGAGGAAGTCAAACTATCAATTCCATCAAGTCCTGCAATCCATGCCTTTTTTTAAACAAATATACATAAAGTGCTATATGGAATAAAATAATGTGAATTACATTGTGACATCTCCTACAAGGTCATCTCTAATCTCTACAAGCATATTATTTTCTCAGTCATCCTATAATGAAATCAGTCTTCTATAGCTCAGACTATGTTACTCTGACTCTGTACACACTGCAGAAAAAAACAAGCCATCTCACATTTATTTCTACTGCTAATCCTCTAATTTCTGTATTAATTAATATTCTTTCTTCAATCCTACATATGGACACTAATCTCAATTACTACCAAGTTTCCCACAATTGAATGGCTAAGTTTTTATTAAGGTTACAAACAAGGCTTTCCACGCGTACCCAAATAAGTCCTCCCAGGCTTACTGAACTTCAAATTTAACTGCCCTCTTCTAACAAACAGAAGAGTAAAGTAAAATGGGCTGAAAGGGCAGAAGAGGAGCTGGAAGGTCATAGGGACCATGAACCTTTCCAGAGATGTGCACAAGGCAGTGTGGCAGAGACCCTGCACAACAGGATACAAAAATATTAAAGTATTTACACTCTCTTTTGGTGTATTTGCATATATACACTTAAGATTGCAGTGCTAGTCTTCTACAGGGATATTGTCCATAAACATAATACTCAGCCTTACCGAACATGAACTTCTGATGCTTCTACTAAGTCCCCATCTATATTCCAAGGGTAATTTTCTTCTGCAGCAGTGTTTTCTTCAGCATCAAGCCCACTTTCAATTCTTGGTTGCACTTTTACTTCTTGAACTGTGTATGTCTCAACAAAGGGAAAACTGAACTAAATCAAACACAGGCACATGTTAAACAAAGATGAAAGCTATAGGTGATACTTTGCAACAAACTGGATTACATGAAATTAAAAAGCTTGGGGATGTTTTTGCCTCTTAATTGTATGAGAGCCCTTAACTCTAAATGTGAACACATATAGAACGTATTGTATATTCCAACTAGCATTCATAGATTACCTGCTATTTCTTATCCTAAATAGTGCCTCAGTGAAAAAAAAGAAAAAAGAATAATACACATTATTCCACTCGCATTCCTATATCAGACTTGCTCAATTTACAGATGAGGTGGTATATTTTTCGCATGCCAAAATGGCATATGCTCTCTGAATACATTAAAGTCCATGGAATTTTTTTCCTATCATTTGTTTGGCACTGCCAGTGATCCTGTTCTCAAGTCTCAAGTGAGGCTCTACCATCTAACTGTAATTTTTAACTATAAAGACAGAGAAAAGCAAAGCCTTCTTCCTCCAAGGGCGTAACTATGACATAATTGGAAAACACAAACTGTTTCCTAAAAGCATCTGTTAGTGCTGTCACACGGTACTGCCACCACCTCCATGACAAACTCTGTCTGCTCAATGATTATCTAATCCAAGCCTGGACCTACCTGTAAAGTGAGTTCACATAACCCTGAAATGTTTGAATGACTACCACGATGTTTAGGCTACATATGGGGTATTTAAAATGACATTTATGTTTAGATGCTTCATTTTTTCTTAAAAAAATAAAAAAAAAAAAAAAAAAAGAATATGATCACAGTTTTTATGTACAGTTCTATAAATATTCATAAATGGTTGAAATATATATCTGCTAAACTCAATGGTGATAATCTGATGCTGTCGGTGTAAGGTTCAGCAATCTGCAGACGTTATGGACTTCACCTATTTCTTACAGAGATGCATCACGTCCCCAAGTCTTGATCTCTTACACAAGATTTAAATACAGCATGCATTTTTCTATTGTGCTTTATTCCCATAAATCGATGGTAAATCAAAAATACAATTTAAACCACAACAGATGGGTTGAAATAGGCTAATCGGTATTAGTCTAGTGATTTAAGAAAAAAAAAAAAATCAGATAAAAAGGGGGCTAATGTATTCTGACAGGAAGCTAAGTCTCCTTATGAGGATGTTAACATTAACTCTTCCAGCATGTCTACCTTCACTATTTACTGTTCCTTTTATAATCACCGGAATGAAATTAACAGTACCTGATTTTTTACACTGGCATATCTTTTCAGGTGTTTTATAAACTCAGTTCGGGAGGTATTCCGTACAACAATCAGAGCCATGCTTCCATTATTTAACCTGAAAAGCAGACAGACTTAGTTCCCTGAAGTAAACACATTACTGGAAGTTTAACAGGCTTATAGGTGCAAGAGCACACTAATAGAATAGTTATAATTTAAATATATACTTTCAAACAAAACAAAATGAAACCCCCACATCTTTATAGATCAATTAAAATGATGCATTTGAAGTTACTTGGCATCTCTGTAACTAAAACATACACAAAAGAAATTTTACTTCTTCATCAATAGCTATAATTTATTAAATGCTATGCATATTTAAATGAAAATGCTTTTCTACTTAACAGCAAAATTCTTAAACATCACAAATTTGTTTTACAAATTTGTTTCTCTCCAACAAAATATGATGATTACCAGAAATCCTGTGATTAACCGCTCCCATGACATGTGAAGCACATACCACTCAGTGCAGTTAGACTCATTCAGCTCCACCATTCACACTTCAGCTGCCTTAATGAACATCCTCATCTTAACCATGCTGCTAGTCAAACCCTCTTAGAAATTCTCAGCAGAGTTCTATACTCCACATGTTTCACGTAGAATGAATAACTTCAAAACTGAAGGGAATCTTGTACAAAAGTGTACACTGGAGGTAAATCAAGAAGAGATCTTATAGTGCAGATAATTATTGGTGCTAGGTACTTACTTGCAGTGATATTCAGCACTTCTAAATTTGGATCAGACAATGAGCTGGTACTACTTCACAGGCTCCTTAATGCAACTGCCTCCTGTCACAGAAACTAGCTGCCTGAATCTCATTTCAACCATTCCTAAGTCTCATTCAAGTCATGGAGAGAAACCAACTTTCAAAAAGTGTCTCTGGTAAAAACGCCAATCACTGCTGAGACTGTATTTTATATTATATTCAGAAGATACATTTATTCATTCACTAGGAGCAATTAAGAAATAGGTTAAGGTCATTTCAAAACAATACTTTCCAGCGCCCCACCACATAACTCCCCACCCAGAGCTTCCTGGCTGTTTAACAACTATAATTGGAACATTCTCAGACTACAATAAAGCACAACCTAGAAAGATAACTTTTATACAGCCATGGAACAAGTCAGATGGCATAGCGTTATTTTACTGATTTAGAAAATAATTTTTTTTAGTAAAATTGAAACAATTGCCTCCTTATCATGTTTTTGCTAGAAAAGACGTAGCAGGTTACTGGAGAATGCATTTCACATTAGAGCATTTCTGAGATGATTAAGAATTCTCTTTAATTCTTTTGCAAGTCCAATCTGCAGTGAAGCATGACACACTGCAGATTTAGGCTAGTATAAAGAGAGTTGCAATAGTCAAAGCATTCATTCATCTTCAAATGTCTTCACACAGCAAAAAAAAAAAAAAATAAAAATAAAAAAATCATGAGAAAAAACAGATCAGAGTGAAGAAACCTAGATGTACTTAGCTGACACTACCATAATGGATTCTGCATCTCAAGCGAACAGTGCAACATTTGTTTCACAGGTTGAAAAGCTTTACAGTCAAGATATTATTGACTATGAGAAATGGAACAACTGTTTGAAACATTTACACTTCTCACCCTGCCGGATAACTTAATTTCTATGATAATATTCAACAAAGAAAAAAAATGGTATACAAAATAGGGGGATCCACTAAGCAACTCTGCTGAAGGAGAAACAGGTTCATTCAAACCTGTATAATTGCACGGAATTGTCTTAAAATTCTGTATCACTGAGGAGCAGGTGTCATAACAGATGGAAAAAGAAAGCAAAGCTAAAAAAGACTATTCAGTTCTTGTCAGAAGGTTTCTGCTAACTGAAATATAACAGTAAATGCTGAACAGAGATAGTTTTCCAGGGAGGGGAAAGCAGCACAGCACTACCTTAAAGAATATGCACCTCAGCAGGACTCCCCAAACTAAGAAAAATTCTCCACAATATCTTTATCAAACACAAATATTTTTAAGTCATTTTCAGTAAGGCAAATCCTAACAGATCAGCAAGTAATTTGGAAGATAAATATCTAACAAGTCTTAAGGCATATTCATTTTCACTAAAGATAATTAAAACAGGCTCATTCCATAATTTTTATGAGCAGTAATGTATAAGGACTAATATATAACGTACAAGAAAAGTTTATGAATTCTTATTTGAGAAATTGTGTTGAATTTCACATACAACTGTGAAGCTCCTACTTGCTATTATTCCGCTTTTAATTGTTAGCCTAATACATTAGCTACAAAGATTTATCACCTGATAGCTGTTTGAGCACCACAAAATATGCTGTCAACAATGAGTCAAGGCAAACTGAATAAGTGTCAACAACCAGATTACATGCACATTTGTTTTCAAAAGCCCTAAATATAAAACTGCATTTCCTAAATTTGGCAAAAAAATAAGGCAAAATACAAGTATGAATTTCAGTTCTTGACAGAAGGACTTCATTGCTCCTGACTGTAAAGCAGAAGACAAATGGTTTACTTTTTCAAGCATAAAGGTGCCAAAATTTAAGAACGAAGTTTCTACATATAGCCAAAACCTATGACAGACAACTGCTCGATGACTACTACTTAAGTTGGACTTGCCAACTAATTTAATCACAGCAATTATCTACTCATTATTCTAGTTAGACTACTTGACCTTATTTGCTTGATCCTAAAACTGATTACAATTCCTGGGATTATCAAGTCTGCTGCAGTCCGCACTCCCTCCCCTGCTCCATAGTCTAGACTACCTAAACACAGCCTTGTATCCTGGGAAAAGCCAAGGTCTTAAGGTAAGATGTCAGAATTTATAGATGTGACTAATTCTTTAAACCTCCACTGACCTCGTATTAGGTGCCAAGCCTCTTGGTGCCATTGAACACAGACAAGGGATTGCCATAATGCTCACGTTCAGGAAGTCACCCTGAATTTTGTGCCACTGATCCTTGCTACCTAAATATAACAGAGTAATTCATATTACTCCAGTTTAACCACTCACAGTTCATTTTTAATGAATCATAAAAGCTAAGGCTCACCTTTTTTTTTGTTTTTTCCTTTTTTCTTTCTAGAAGGGTGAAAAAACACGTAGGGAAAATAATTTAAAATAAATTTAGCACATATAAATATTTCTTTAGAAAAAAAATCAATGTGTCACTGGACGACAGAAATAATGGAATTGAACAACACAAGAATATTAAGAGAAAGTCTGCTTTCTAATAAACCCTCTGTAGTCTCAGAGACAGAAGGACTATTTTACAAACCGTGCAAGTTCACAGTTCTCAAAAAAAATCTTTCTCTTTAAAAATTTTATTTTATCTGATGATTAAATTTGAACGAAATACAGAATTTGCACAATTTTCTCTTCGACAATATATAATTTTTTTTTTTTTTTTAATACATTTGAGTTTGACTCAGTTTTACTTACCTGTCATTCTCATAAGAGTCTTCCTGTGGAATTTGTAGAGGTAGAAATGATAATTCACATTTCTCTGTCCTGGAAAAGTATTTATATATAGTGTAATATTTACTGTAATCCAATTTTCTGACTGCTAGACAAACTTTTATTCAAATTAAAATGATTTTAAGGAAATGCTGAATATAACAAATTTAGCAACCAAAAGATAAGACAGCTAAACTACTGTTGTCTATATTTTACTGCATTCATTATTGCATGTTCCTCAAGAAAATGAGAAATAGTAGAAAAATGTAACAACTTATGGCATACTTGAGATCTGCCAGTGTTTTGATAAAAGCAAAGTTCTTTCGCTGATTGGAGGGCATCCAACGGTTCTTTTCAGCCAAAGCTAGAGTCCTTGCACCAAAACCAAACATAGCCGAGAACCCAAAACGCAAAAGCCTGCTTGGAGTACTGAAAGTACAGGCATCTACTGGTTGAATATGACCTAAAAAATCAAAGACAAAGGTCAGAAATAACAAACAACAAACCAAACATAACTTACTATTTCATTTTCACCTGATTTTAACTGAGTGAAAGATCTGCAGAATATTCTCTCCTTAGGAAGTCGAGTTTTACTAATGAAAATTAGAATCAACTCAGATATAATCAAGACTGTAGAAGTACTCATTTCAGAGAACAATGTTCAGGAAACTTCAAAATGTCAAAATTTTTTATGGCAAAAATCCAACCAACTCGTCAGGCAGGACATATTGTGACTTTCAATTACTATACAAAGAAAATTACAGTTGCTACATAAATACATTTATGTCTATATTTAAGAGTTCCTGAAATATAGTATCCAGTGCAATAATTACACACAGTGCATCATTACAAGCAATTGGTGAAATGGTCACAAATGTTTTTACAGTTACAGAACAAAGACATCTAATTTTGTTCAATATAGAGTATATACACTTTTTTTTTTTCTATGAATGAATCTGTTGTTTCCATTATGTTCACAGTCTCTGGAAAAGACAGTTTCAGATTTTGTATATAAACTGTAAGCTTTACTATCCAGGAAAAGGAATATTCCACTGCTGACTGTAAGGTCTAGAAAACACACATTCAGGATGAAGCTTCCTTATCCATTATTCTCTTTTTGAAAAATTATATATGTATTTTTATATATGTATCCTAAAAAAACCTTACTTTAGGAGAAACATTGACCTTATTCAGTTAAGCATTTGCTACTTCCTAAGTCCTGGAAATATGGCTTACACAGGCAAGCTAGTTGTTCCTCTTAGCATAATCAGATTTTCACACATAAAACCCCATTTGTTGTGCAGATCAGACTGAATGGCAAGAAATGAAATTCTTCTACAAATAAAGCTTTCTTATGGAAACTGTTGTGTGTGTTCTGGTTTTTTTGTTTGTTTGTTTTTTTAAGGAATGTTCAGCCAGTACATAACACACAGAGTAACACAGTTCACACTACACAGTCCAGAAAAGGTTACTCTTTGCAATAAAGAACATCAGCAAGAGGAAATGAATGCCAGAATTGTTACAGATTGTTATAATTACCTTTACTATTAAGCTACATGCAAAGAACATTCCATACTCTATAAACCAGGTCAGAATCATTTGGGCATAAAAGTCTTACAGTATAGGTTACAGTGCTACAGCATAACACTAGGTATTTATTAAACAATTGGCTATGGCAAATCCCTAAACGCTGCTTCACTATTTAAAAACAGACACTGTGCCTGTAAGTATTTACCCATTACAATGTGCAGCGTTGCAGTCACCACATGTTTGATGCCATAGAGAGTGTAGGCCAAAATGTTAGTAGTACCTGCAAAAGTAAACACAAACTATCGTAAATAAGATAGAAGATAGCAAGAAGTATATATTTATGGCATGTATATAAAAATTTCAGAAAAGGAAATTGAGATGGTTAATACATTTTCAAAGCCCCCTACACAAATTATTCCATCTCGGTAAAAGCAAAATGCTAAGTAGCACAAATTATAAGCATACAAAATTCCATAGATCTACAAAATTCTATCTGTATATTCACTGATAAGTGACATAAAATCCAAAAGCAAATATTGCCTTCTTTGTTGCTGCTATTAACCTAACTCCCTTTACAAATATATATATTTTTTTTAATACATAAGTCCAATACTGGGAAAACATACCAGCAGGTAGATTATCAAGTAGGATTCATGTGGGGAATGCTGTTTTGTTTTATTTGCTTGTTTTTAAGTTGGAAAAACAATACAATGTCAGGCCATTGAAAACATCAAGTTTCCCAGGCAAAATTCTACAATATCTAGTCAGAATGCTACTTTTTCCCTTGCAGACTATATCTGAGAAGTAACAGCAGATATTGTTGATTACAGCATGTTAATTTTATGTATAAGAAGAACATCAATGACTGAAAAACAGCTTTTCTTAGCCGAGTAGCAGGGCCACAGGATTCCATTCTGCACAGCTAGAACTCCAGGGCTGCGCAGAGAGAATATTGAGCTTCTTTATAGCACTGAGTAAGGCATGAGTAATTCAAGAACAGATTAATTCAAATTACAAAAATTGTAAATGAACAATTTAGAACCTAACATCCCATAAAGGAATAAGTTCACTTACTCAAATTTTCAAATCATTTTCTTGTTGCTTGAATTATTTAATATGCTACAGCAGCAATAGACAACTCTGGTTGATAAATTTGCCTTCTATTTTATGGATGCATTTAAATTTCTCTGTCAACAGTGGGGGTGGGGGGGAGAGAAACGAGGAAAGGGAAGAAATCATCATATTTCAAATAAGAGGCACTCAATATCTCAATAAGCACTTTAAAAGCATCATATACCAGACTGAAAAATTATGCTCATCTCAAAATTTTGCCATCTTTGATGTCACTTTAGTGGTAGAAATCATACTAAATATGGAAAGATTGATGTACATAGTTGCATAGCTCTAAAGGCATCTTGTCATTCTTATTCAGTAATACATGCTTTTTTTTTTCCCCCAATAATTCCCCTAAACAAGAATGTTAAGAGAAAAAAAAAAAAAAAAGAAAACCAGGTGTATTTTATCACAGTATCTCACAGAGAACCTGTTACCTCCTTAGGTCACCTCAGTCTCTGGAAGCAACCAGAGTGCTCAGAGCCTCATGGAAAGCCTTCAGAATGTCAGAGAGAGAACTCTGAGTAAGGGCCTCAGGGCTCCTGTTATGTGAAGGAAATGAGGGAGGTACATATATCAACATAACAGACACAACATTTTTTGAAGTTTACATCCTCAGTCACAGTGGAAGAAATCTGACCATGTGCAGTTTTATTCTTTGAATAATTCAAACAGAAATGAAATTTAATTCAGATATTTCTCAGAGTTTAGAGGTGACTATAACACCAGTTTATTTTTCCTTTTCCTAAAGAGTGTATTTAAATATGCCCATGAAACTGGGATTACAAAGCACTTTGAGAGAAGAAATCAACAAATTCAATCTTAACTTTCTTTTTTTTTTTTTCCCCCAAAGAATTTTTCTCTACATACAGTACCAGAAAGTGTATTTTATTATGTATACTACAGCGCCAGCAATTTATCTCCAACAGTTTATATCCAGCAACTCAACAAAAAGCTATTTGAACTTCTCTTTCTGTACAAAAGCAAACACAAAATTGTAGCTCGAGACGCTGTTTAATATTCAAATCAGCAACTTTTATCACTTCAATGAACATAAAATATAGTTCCATACAGAAAACTTTGGGATAAAATAAAAAAAAAGGTTTGCCCTAAAAAGTTACTCTTCAGAGAACAGTACAAGTCTCTGCTTACAGTATTTCGTGTTTGATTATTTCTGACATTTAACTCTAGATTCAACTATTTTTGTTTAGTCAGTGAAGCTCAAGTAGGAGCTCAAAGCATTCAGAGATACCTCCTTGGATCAGGTTTTTGTTTTTGAAACTCTAAGTGACTTTTATAGGAATCTTTTTTTGAGGAGAAAGAAAGAAAAAAAAAAGAACGTGCTATGTAATTGGGATGAAAACAAAGGAAATCACCCACAAGCAGTATATTTTTACAAGTAATGCAAAGTTATTCTGATAAATATTGCTTTTCTATGTCATTGAAGATCAAGCTAACAGAAGAGCACAGGGTAGAATGAACTCCAAAAGATTGGGCTTGGTACCTCTTAAACTGGAATTCCTCCTTTAAGTAAGAGTGATTCATCAATACAGATGGCAACAAGATAACAAATGGCCAGGGCTGAAATCAATACCAATTTTCATGCTGACTTTAATAAGAGTTAAATCTCATTCCTACTAAACAGGATAGCACAAATAATTGCATTCTTGTCTTAAATCTGTGAAACTCATTAAAATCTGCAGAAGTAAACAAAACAAAACCCCACCTCTCCCGGCTACTGAGAAAGTAAGCTCTGCCTGTGTTCAGAAATGTAAGTACTGCATGCAAGCAAGCCCTTCCACGAGCTGCAGATCCAGAATATGCGTAGTTATACAGCAGGGAATGTCACCACCTATTCCAGAAAACATTCTTAACACGCACCTAGCAGCATTTTGACCCTAGCAATAATTGAATTAAGCATCCCTTTATCTAGGTCCTGTACAAAGAGGATGATGCAAAGAAAGATTACACCAACAGAGATAAAACAATCAAAGTTATCATACAAATAAAATTGTTAGGATTAAAACTTCGCTGACTTAAATGGTGATTCAATAATAATGGCTTTAATGCCTGTACAATCAATGAATATACAGATAGTATAGTATACCCAGGAGTTTGTCTGATGTAATTATGATACTAGAGTAAGGAAAAGAAAACACCATATCCTGGGCTCGCACAATAAACTCTAGTCAAGTAGCTCTCCAGAAGAGATCCTTCCCCACTGGTAGTCAGTTCTTAAATGGGCCTAGCCTGGCTCCACCCCTTCCTGCAGCACAGGTGAATTGCCCTCACCTGTGCTCCCGTGGTTGACTCAGTGCTTGCCTCAGGTGATTAATCAGAGGTTCAGGCCGTGATACACCAGCCCCATACAATGCCATGATTCATCTTTTTAAGTCAACCTTAAACCTTTCTTAACTCTATGTAAGTTTGGAATATTACTTACCATCAACAAAGTGGTTTCCAAGAACACTATTGTACTACACTCAAGAGACTAATAACCTCCTTTGACGCTCATATATGGCCTTGCTCTCCCCAAAGATTACAGCAGGCACATTTTAGGTCTCACTCCAACTACTCAGTCCATTGTAAATCAGCATAAAAGTTTTCGACCATACAACTCCAGCATCTTTGTCAGACACTTTTTTTTTTTTTTTTTTAACAGAAACCAAAATAGATTTTATTATTCCAGAACTATAACCCTGTTCTAAATATTCACCCTGTTTCCTGACATTACCAACAACTTCCCACAATCTTAATCCTACAAAATGCACAAAAGCATCATGGTAAGGATTAAGTATCTGCAGGTCACGTAAAAAATGACTGATGGAGGTACCAAACAGAAACTGTAGGGAAAAAATTGTCCTTGGAAGTGCAAGCACTTCTGCAGTACAATTAACTTAATTAACCAGACAACATGAATATTCATAAGGCTGTTAATGTCTCCCCCATCCAAACAGATAAATGTGATGTAATGACTTCCTAGTCAAGCATAGCTAAAATTCTGATGAAAACTGCACCAACATTTTGGTTCTTTGCCTGAAATATCACAGAAATTAACAGTCCCTCAGTAATATTTTATTTTACAAATTAATTGGAAACCATGAATTTATTTAAATGAACCACTTAGGACCAAGAGGCTCGCAGCCATTGGATACAGATTGACTCCTGCTCATCACAACAGGATCACTTTCCATGTCCTCCTGCTCCCTCTGCAGCCCCTCAGCTGCAGTTCCCATAGCAACAAGCTCTTGCTGGTGGCTGGTGGCACCACCACAGGCCGCCCTACATCACCCCTCCGGCTGGGACCACAGGAAGGCAGCCTGGGAGCTACTGCCATGGTGCTCTGCTAAAAGTATGCTCTCGTAAGATCTGTCTGCCCAGAAGGGAAGCAGTTTCAAAAGCAGCTTCTCCCCATCAGGTGGATTGGAACTTCAAAATGCTGCTCTATCTACTGACAACACACCAAACCCAGATCTCAATCTCATCTGCCTTCAAAGAGTGCAATCCCACAGAATCATAGAATGGCATAAGACTTCCAGGGGCATCCACGGCTTTTCTGGGCAGCCTGTGCCAGTGCCTCATGCCTCCTGAGTAATGATATTCTTCCTAACATCTAACCTAAATATTTCCTCTTTTAAAGCCATTCCCCTTTGTCCTATCACTATCAGATTGTGTAAAAAATTGGTCTCCTTTCTGATTATAAGTCTCCCTCAAGTACTGGATGTCCACAATGAGGTCTTTCTAGAACCTTATCTTCTCCATGCTAAACAAGCCCAACTCCCCCAGCCTTTCTACATAGGAAAGCTGCTCTAGTCCCTTGATCATCTTCACTGCCCTTCTTTGGCACCACAGTATTTTTCTATTCTTGCTTAGCCAGAAAATCCTAATAATTGGTTCAATGAAATTACAGGTGGAAAGACCATTGAAGTACATCTTTACGTGCCCAAGTATTACACTGACCTATTTCCTGACTACTTTTTGAAATACAAACACTATTGAAATAAATGAAGATACTCAGGAAACCAATATGAAGTTTCTCACACTTTCACTATAAATTGATCCCAGTCTCTTTTAAGGAAGCCTACAGCAGTCTGTGTAGCAAGCAATAGAACACTCTCTCAAGTTCTCATACCCTTTCATGACATTCTTCTGCTGACAAACTGAAGAGAGGAAGCACTGGCACTGAGGCGCAGTGACTTCTTGCTCACAGCCAGACAGCGTGGAGAGAGACACCGGAGAGATTCCACCCTGCCACCACCTATACACACACAGTCTTAACTGACAAGCGATGGTCAAAGCATGTAAAACTTGCTTTCTGAGTTTACAAATTACTTACTCCTTTCTTTGTAGAAAGCTGAAAAAAACAATGTGCTGTTCTCTTGGCTGAAGGTGTTTTTTCCTATTGGTTAAAATCATCTGAAAAATTACAGCAAGCATTCACATTGGCAGTCACACCTGAGGGTACTGTCCATGCAAAAATGCCCCCCTTCTTTCTAAGGGGCATAAGCCACACAAATGTAAAATAAGCTCTGCATGCAGTTCTGCCTCATCCAAGTTACACTAAGAAGGGCAAGAGAAAAACACAGGAAGAAGGAGAAAAAAAAAAAAAAAAAAAAAAAAAAGCACAAGAATTATGTACAAGTTAAGGTAGGAACGAGAGCATTATTCAAAACAGATGCATGTATTTTCAGATCTGTGGAAGTGAAGGAAGATAAAGCAGTTTTCTGTACACAGTATTTTTATTTTTTAATATCATTTGCAACATATATTCCTGATACACCATTTAAAAAATGGATCGTAAGCATGAATACAACTGGGAATCTGCCAAAAAAATTGGAGAGAGAAGAAAAAACCACCACGGCCTGAATTAAGGACATTCTAGAAAACAAAGTTTGCATTTGATTGCATTTCTTTTGGCAAATAAGTGCAAAACGGGATTTTTGCATGGATCATCTGAAGATAATTTTAGTTTTCTGCCTCCAGAGCTGCTTCCTTTAGGCAAAGAGCTCATCTGTGCCATTACTATAAATTATCATAATGATTTAAAATCTAGTCATTTGTAATCAATCTAAATCACACATATAGGTCATTTATTCAATAACTCCCTTAAGTAACTGAAGCTTTAGCATCAAAAACTGCCTTTAGTAGCCAAACCTATAAAACGTGCCAAAGGGACCTAGAACAAATCACTGACAAAACATAACAGTGTTGTTTAGTCTCACCTGCTGGTATCACTCCAAGAGGGACTGGTGCTCTGACAGGCGCCGATATGAAGTCTGTGCTCTTTCCAGCATCTATCTGGGCTTTAAGTAGCAGACCATGAGCAACTTCACTGACAAATCCATCTCCACCAACACAAACTACTCTATTAAAAAACAAAAACATTTCACAGTTCAAAATAAACCATTCCACAATTGAGCAAACCAGCAGAAGGCAGCTAAAATACCACATCAATGCAATGGTACTTCAAGCAGCTGAAATCCACTCTTTCTTTAGGAACAGTCAAAGCCTTACTGTCAGGTCAGTGCATATCAGCTAACAAGATATAAGCATCCTTTTTTCTGCTTCCCTCTGAGTAGGAATAACTATACTTAACTTCTAACTTACATCTCCTCTTATAGCACCAGAGCCACAAAACCAAGCAGGGGAGGACTCCAGCATACGTCCAAGTACTTCAGAGGAAAAGCTCTCCAAATCTTTCAATATTGACCACCATAAGCATTCCACTGGTTTTTAATTGCCATTACCATAACAACTAACCAAATATTAAACTGAAAATACTTGAAAACACACTATGCAGACAGTGGAGGGATTTAGGAAGGTATAAAATCCTCATACCAGCAATCCTTTGCATGAAGGTACTTAATCACTGCTTCTGGAGCATGTAATTAAACTCCCACCTGCTGTGGCTATAGAGAAGAATGTATTTGTCTATAAAAGCTCTCTAAAAGCTCTATAAAAGTTACAGCAAGTGTCCATCGTTGATGCCATTTTCGGTTCTATTTATTTATTTTAGGCAAATATGAACACGATTCTCCAAATAAGCATGTTTGGAAGTTGAAGGTTTTTAAGGTACACATTCTACAGAACAACAAATAGTAATCTTACACTCAATATGTTTACAATATAGATAAGTCAGGTTTATTGTAGAAGGTGCTTATTTAAACCATTTTATCATATATTCATGCGAATGCAGTTGTGAAACTGTGCCCAAAAATTCAGCCAGATAAAAATGGTGTTCTCTTTAAAAAATATATTCATGATATCACTAAGTGCTTAAATTAAATCATCCATCTCTTTAGTCATTATTTTCTTTCTACTGCTTAATTTCTAAATTGGCAGGAATATTTCTCCCTCTGAGCTAAACAATTCTCATATGCACACACACAAAAAAAAAAACCAAAAAAAAAACAGGAAAAAAGAGGAAAATAGAAACATTTGGATTCTGTAATCTTACTGTGTGTAATCAGGAGTCAGATTTTTACTTCATTCTTTATTTAGTTTGACAGAATCATGGAATCCGTAGAGTTGGAAAGGATCTTCAAAGACCATCCAGTCCAACTCCCCTGCAATGAACAGGGACATACATACACAGCTCAATCAGGTTGCTCAGAGCCTGAGCCAGTCTGGCCTTGAAAGTCTCCAGGGATGGAGACACCCACCACATCTCTGGGCAACCTGTGCCAGTACCAAGGCTTGAAAATCTCTGCCACAGGTGGAAAAAAAAAAAAAAAAAAAAAAAAAAAAGTGATCTTTGGAGTGTGATAAACCTAGAGAGACTTAAATGCAGATTCTAAATATTAGCACTACTGAAAAAAGACAAATATTCTGATTTGGGATCTGTATTGTTGTTATAAACAAAGGATCAAAAAAAAAAAAAAAAACCTGAAAGCCAGAAAGAAATGTAGCTAACTTTATTTTTTTAGTTCTTGTTAGTTCTCAACAGTTTCCCTTTTGGCCAGAAACAGAGATGGTATTAGGCACCAGGGATTTCAGATCTAATCAGCAAGAACCTGTTATGCATAAGGAGTGAAAAGCCTTGAGCAAACAGATTTGACTAAGACCACGAAGAAGGCCTCTTAGAGGAAAAAAACATCTGTCTAACCATCAGACACAAGTTTATCAGTCATCTGTTCCCTGAAGTCTGACCAACTCTAGCTACTCTAAATGAAATCCAGTCATGTAGGCTTCTGACTGGGGAAGAAATACTTGGATATACCTTTCACATTTGTTACTGCATAAACAAGAGAATGCAGCTCAGAGGCAGTTTGCATCTGAGATGCACGCGCTCTCTAACCATGGCTTGGCCTCCAGACAGGTAAAAAGCACACAGCCAACTTCGATAATTTATGGTGTGGGTAAGAAAAACAGAAGAGGATACAAAAAGAGGTGAAGTCACACATAAGATACTTGACATACAGCCATGATGTTGCAGAACAGCATGGGAGCCAGAGAAATCAGGGAAAATAAATGAAATAGAACACAGTCGAGGCCAGCTCTGACAAAGAATTAAAGCACTGCAGAATTGCTTACAAAAAGCACCCAAGATACAAATATGCTGGACTAACACCCTGCTGGAGGTGGAAAGCTTCCAAATTACTTCATGTACCGTTTAACATGTAAGGAATCATAAGCCTTTTTGAGACAAATTCAAGATCATAAATTGCGCTTCATTATACTGCTTGCTTACTTTAATAAATAAAACAACATCGTGTCTTTGAGGTACAGAAATGCTGTTCTTCTGTTTTGTAGACAGGCAACCAAGAGAAATGTAGCTGACTTAAATAAAACTGAACTGGAAGTGAAGGCAAAACTGGAGAGACTGGAGTCCACCAAATAACAAGCAATGCTGCTCAATAACTAACTGGGTAAAACTTAAAGTAAACAGCAAACAGACATCACATTAGGTGGCTGCCAGAATTGCTAAAAGGGTGGAAAGAATTACCTTTACCATTAATCCTCCCTAAAACCAAACTATTACCATTTAGAAAGGACAGGGATCTGTTCAAATCAGGCATCGCTGCATTGCATTATTTTTTTTTCCAGCTTTTTCTGTTTTATTTCCTTTTGTACCTAAGGCTACTAGAAAGCCTTACAGAAGCACTCCAGTGACGTCACCCAATGTTCAAAGACAACAGTTTAAGAAAGCTTTATGTTTATTTATCATTATGTATGAATTAAAATACACGCCTGTTGACAGTTAAGTAATAAAAAATGAAGCATCTAAAGAGAATTGATTTTCTTAGTCTGAACATATATCATAAACAGAGTAACTCATAAAATACCTCTTGGCAGACTTTGGGTGGAATACAAATAAAAACTAGTGTTACAAGGTTTATTAATGTTCACAGCTACTTACCCATCAAATGCTTGGAGTTCACATTCTTTAAGTATTGACAGAGCATGTCCTTCATATTCAGTTACTGTGGAAAACAACATTACTCAATTTTCAGAAGATTGGATAAATTGATTTTTTTTCCACTTCTAGCATAAGAAACACACATTAATTAGTTCAGAATATATTTTTTATCATTAAATACATTACAGTTATGAGAAGGTAAGTTGTGCAATTACACTAGCTAAAGGGCAAGACATCAAAACTCAGCTGGCATCAGGCACATGGCTATTCAACACATTTAAATTCAGAGAATTAGAGAAGATGTTTGTTGCATCAAAATGGAACTTGTAGCATTGGTACAGTTGGTAACCTTCAGGAAAATGTAAGCATGTCATCAGTTAAGACTGAATTATTTCCATATCAATCACCTTTAATTGCCTTTGTATGCAAATTGCTAAATGAAAAATATCAGGAGTTACACACAGAAATATGAAATTAAGCCAAATACCAGTGACAGCAGAATATAACACACAGAGGAAGGTGGCACAAGTATGCACCAGAGTTCATAGCCTCTGGAGGAAATGAATCTGTCAGTCTACATTGATGTCTCTGTGTTTGCTGATACCCTGTATTGTACCGTAAATGCCAGTGAAGACAGGATAAACTGGCATACTACAGATGGCACGAAGCATCATAACTACATTTAGCATTTTCTAGGCCAGCTTTGCCAGAAGAGACAGCCCAGCTGCACCCACCCATCAAAGATTTTTGCTGACTGACATGACACTTGCAGATGGATTTTTTGTGTAAGAATGTGCATCATTATATGCAAAATTACATTAATCTTTTATGCTTGTCTGTCCCTGGTGCTAGCATAGTTCAAAGCTTTTCTCCAGTGTTTCTAAATACTGTTAAAATTATTAGTCTTGGTGTCTAAAACAATCATCCTGTATCTGTACATGTTATAGCATACTATTTCTGCAGACTACTCAAATGCTGCATAAAAATGTTGAAAACACTCCTCTGTCTATGCACAGTGTGTGTGTATACAGTGAGTATAACTCATTCTTTAAAAACCAATAATAATAATAATTTTTAAAAAGTGGTAAAATCTCCACACTATGCACTAAAAACTGTCTACCAGCACACAACTTTCAAGTTTAAAAACAAAAACAAATGGGCACTTCATTCTATTATTGACGGTGAAAAATAAGCCCTGGCAGAGTTGATTGTATAGGAATTAAAAACACTGAACAGCAACACCAAGAGCCAACTACAGAAATATGAGATGGGATGAAGAGTTCTGTCTTTCAGCACTTCACTGTCCAAATTTGTTCTTGCTGCTTTGTGGATGTTGTTCTAAGTAACCTTTCAGTCTTACATTATCTATGTACTGCAAATCACTCAAACTTACATTAACATTTTCCTACAATAAATTTTAGACTTTAAATCAGTGTAGGCATAAAGACTAAGAGTAAAAACTATCTTCAGTATGAAAATTGTACAGAAGCCTTCAATTCATAGCACTCTAAGTGTGTAACTATTGCCCCCCAAGTTGCTTTTTTGTTTGTTTGCTTTTTTATTTTTTAAAGAAGACGGCACCAGTGAACCAGACAACTTTCACTCATCCCCCTTTTCCATTTGTTTTCTTCTTTCCTTTGCTTCTTTTTCCTTAATACTTTGTTCTTAATTATTTAATTCTTTACCAGCATTTAAGACACTAATGCAGTTTTCTCCTTTTGCCTGTAGGAGGAGTGTTAGGCAGCTAATAAGCACTTTAGCACTTGGTTATTGCCAAAATAGCCCTATTTTAAAAGATAAGCAATTTCACATTTATTTGGCTAAAAACAGCAGTTTTCCTTTTTCAGAATTTAAATAAAAATAATCAAAATAAATTTCCAACTGTTTCTATTCAATTAGGAAAAATGCTTTTAAAATCAGAAAGAACGATATTCACAGCTTATATTAAATTATGTGAATTAATCTATAAAACTTGACTCAAATTTGGCTTATTAGTTCAGCTTTAGAATTTCAGCCAAAAATGTAATTTCATACAAGTTAATGATAATGCTGCCTTCAGCAGAGTTTAACAAATGAGGTTACCTTCACAATAAAAATAAATAATAACCAGTAGTATGGAAAAAGTCCAAAAGATAATTTTATTTCAATAATTGCTTAAAATGAAGTAATACCTAATTTAACAATATGACATGGTCACCTCTTATCGCTATGGAGTTGTAACAGAAAATTCTATTTCACAGTTTAGTTGATTTTCTTTTAAAATGTGGGCTAAATAACTTAAAAACATGTAAATAAAGATTATAAAGTCAGCAAGATACATCTCATGCGAACACTTATCACATTATTGTATTATTATATTATTTTATTAGTATACTTAAGTCAGATTTGTTCTGAGTGCTTTTTGGCCTGTAACCTGAGCTGGCTGTGATTTCACAAAACGTTTAGGCAACGACTGCAGGTTAAGTAGTGCCTTTCAGCTGGAACCGATCATTTTGCAAACTAATTACAACAATCACAAGAAAAAAAGGCTTTTTGGGATTAAAATACCTCGCACGGATATGAAATCGTAAGTAAAGAACAGCAATGTATTAGAGGGAGTTATAATGCTATGAATATAATATTATTTGCATTGAATAATACCATTTCTCTGTAAACTTGGATGTCAGGGGGGACCAAATCTGATGTAGCAAAAGTTTCGGTCACTTCGCGGAAGGGAGCAGAAGCAACGAGATCATTACAATTTTAGTGCTTTAAGAAAATCTGTCCAGTTCCTTGCAGGAAGCCAATGAAATAGAATAGCCAAAGGGCAAATTCAGTGAAAGACATAAGGACATAAAGCATAACCCTGGCAGAATTTGGAGCTTTAAATCCAAACCTGATATTAGAGACCCACTGTCCAGTGTCAAGCAGAAGGCAGTATCACTATAACATTAAACTTTTACCTTTGTGTTCTCCAGACAGCCAGCTGTGCCTGGTGAGAACTGCCCTTGTCATGCCAGAACTTCATCACTTAATGTCCCAGGTCATCCCTCAAACTCAGTCAGAACCCAGAGATAATGTGCTCTTCCCATTAGCCTCTCTTGTGTGATGTCCAACTAGTAGATGTTCTCAGAAGAGAGGTAATATTTAAGGGCATGTTTATCAGAACGCTGAAGGAAATATTATCAAATGCATACAAGACTGTCAGACATTAAATGCTTGCTTCCTTTTATTCAACATTTGGCCTAGAATTATGAAAGCGATATTATTGGTATTGATGACTAGAGGGGAAAAACTGTTCAATGAAGAATAAAAATGCTAAAACACTTCTGATGACAAAATAGATTGCATTGTATTAACTAGAATTCCAAATGCACTATTTGCAGACAGAACCAGAAAGGGTTCAAACTGTCCTGCAAGCTTAGGTAGTAGCTTCACAGAAGATTAAACTATGCTTCTGAGACAGCTTACCTGTGACATCAGTTTTTATATCAGCAAGTTTAAAAAGAGGTGACACTTGTTCATAATAAATATGAGTGGCTTCTCTTTTGTGGCTGCTTGGATTAACAAATACTTTCAAGGATTTTGGCCTATTTTGAAACCCTAAAAAGAAAACACGAAACATTTATCATCACACACCATCCAGCTATTGCTACAGCTTAAATAAATTTTTAATACTAGAACAAATACAGTACTTCAATACAATAATTATAGCATTAAAAAAGTCTCCATTTCTTTTGAATATGTGCTATTTGTCTCAAAATTACAGTACTGATTACTTTTTAATGTAAAGTTAATAACAGTGGAAATGATTTACAATTGTCGAAACATTGTAGAATGAGAAGGAAAAAAATATATAAGACATAGCTTAGTTAAACCTCGATACAGGAGCAGAATGTGTGCAGAAGTTATAGGATCAGGTAACAAAAAGAAGTATCAAAATATTTTCTTTTTGGAATTCCATGTGAAACACTGCCAGCAGGCATATGACAATAAGATCTGGCAAAACTGGCAGCACAATTCAATACTGTTGTTTTCTGGGACTGCAAATCAAACAGCGCATCTTGAAAGGCAAGAAGAAATGTCAAGCAATAGATAATCTGGTAAAATTCATCCAGAAATCTAAGAATTGTGTGGTTTTTTTTTGTTTTGTTTTGTTTTTAAGTTACATTTAGGTCTTCAAGTTAACTCTGAACAGAAAATGCTGAAAAACACTACTTTGCCAACACTCAATCCTGCACATTGAGCCAATGAAATGTCTTTGAGAAGTAACTTTATTACCTGAAAAAGTGCTTTTTTGCTGAATTGTAAATAATTCATATTCAATAAGTAATAAAAAAAGCAGTAACACCATTTTTTCAAGTCTTTTCTGTGATACCAAAAGTTGCCCTGATTCAGTTGATTTGTTACTAAAAGCAAGTGGTGGCATCCAGTATGCTGTTTTTTGGTCATTACTTGAAATAAATGAGTTGAAAAATTTTGTGTTCAATTAATTCACTCAAATTCTCAATTTCCATTTAGCATCAGGTTAAATTATCACTTTCTCAGCCAAATAAAAGCTAGAAGATCTGATAAGTATGCTGCTTTCAACATTCAGGAGGAACATCAGCAGTAGTGCTCGATGTCAAAAGGAACCAAAACTGAAAAAAAAACAAATTTTCTGCTGCATAAAGAGTATTACTTTATTTTTTTTACAGTCATATGAACCTTAAAATCACTGGCTGGGATTTCCTGAAGCTGTTTCCCTCTTATTCTACTGAATAGGAACAATTCCTCTGAGAAATTATAGATGAATACTGTTTTAGAGTCAAAGGGAAAGTATTCTGTAAGGCCAAAATATAATGACTATAAAATTCCTATAGATTTCTTTGACTCATCTAAACACATCAAGGAATGCACAGATGAAAATGAACACTTTTACTAGCACAAGCCAGATAATCTTCGAAGATTTCTTAAAGATACTGAAGGATGCCTACCAGGGCAGTTTAGTCTTGATGCATCCCTAATGCCTGGTGAATACCCTGGATGTCTTCAGTCAGAGGCCTTAGCACCTTCACAAAGAACCACGTTCTTGGGAGGCACGTCATGTCGTGTATGAAATAAAACAGCCCTTAAGCAGAGACAGGTTCCCCCTTCGTGCCAACTTACATAGTAAGTTAAACACTTTCAACTCTAAGCATTTGTTGACACTACTCACTGGTGTTTTGACTTGAAGTCACTGGCCTGCTTTATTTCTTTCTATCCAAGAAATATAAAAACCCACAATAAAGAAAATGGTAAAGCAAGAAATTGTCAAGCTTACTAGTAACAGGAACTTCCCTCTCTTTCTCTCTCTCTACTAGCAAAAGACACACAGATAATTTAGAAGCAAGGCAACAAACTTTTTTCTCCTACAAACAATATGCTGATGAGCTTTCTGTCATGCACCACAATTGACAGCTTAGAAAAATCCTGAGGGAAAAAAAAAACACAAACTTTAAATGCCTGCTTATGGGTTCTTATAAAAATCACTTTGAGAATATGGAGCAGTATCTAAATTTACTGTACCACCAAAAAAGTAGAGAAATGCTGCACCAAAAGAGTAGAGAAAAGGGAAATGAGTAAATAAGGTGTATTCCAAAGGCTCTTGATGGTAGACCAATTCTTTTCTCATTCCTTTTTCGTTTCACAAATGACATTTGAGAACAGAGATGGTACAGTATCATACATGAATGGCTGATCAGGACAAAAATTATTAGCTATCATTCCCAGTGTGTAACAGACATGTTATAAATCAAGTAACTGGGCTTAATAAAAGAAAATCCAATAACAGTCAAAGATGAAATTTTCACACAATCATGGAGTGAAACTTCTTTAAAAAAAGGAGTTTAAATAATTATCATCTTTTAATTTTCTTTAAACAACATTGTGAATGAATTGATCTTATTTACTACAGCCTGCAACTGCTTTCAGTCTGTCAGCCTTTTGGTGCTGTCCTAACTGGTGTTCTGTTATTGTTTTCTGTAGCTGCTCCATTTGAAATGAACCAGCAGCCTAAAGCAGGAAGGCCAACTGTTCCTCCAGTACTAACAAATGTGCTAATATGCACTAGTTTAAACTTGATCTATCAAGTGAATCAGTGAACCATGAAGGGTGGTAGGTCAATCAGGGTGCTCTGAAAACAAAGGCTCGGAGGGCAGCAGAGACGCTATGCTCAGACATACATCTGTGCTGCTTTCCATTCCTACTTTTATGGAAATGGGTTTATGTTACAAAAGTTAAGGGTCTGGAATCATGTCGTTATTACATGCATTTATAAATACTTTATACACCAGTAAGAGTATTATACATGAGGAAAATTAATAATATGAAACAGATTTGTTATTGTAACTATGGAGATACCACTGTTAATATTAACTAAGCAAAGTTAATGTTTAACATTAATGGTTTAATTAAAGCTTCATGCATGAAGTTTCAGCCTTGTATATCAAATCCCAGTGTGAAAGAGATGCTACAGAATAGTACATAAAAATGAAATGCACTTCATGCATTTTTTGCTACTTCAACACTTATTTTTAACAGTATTTACTATCTTACACTAATTTACAGAGCTTTTAAGTGAAACTTTTTCAAACTAACTGCTAGTGAGAATAAGTCTCATCGCAGTTGAAAAAAAATCAAAAAAGGAAAATGAGTAAGCATTGCTAATTATCCATTTTCTCCCATTTCCAGTGCCATCTTAACCCTTTAAGTAGCTCTGAGCATTTGCATGTGGAGAGGATTCGAAATTAATCAGTGAATCCCGCTTACACAGCATGCCTGCAGCACACACTCAAAAGCCCAGTACAAGAAGATGTGAAGAGGAAATCTCTGCGAGTCAGCGTACAACAGGTCTGACATAAGACCAGCACCACACGAGGAATGGTCTAAGCAGCCATTTGGGACTTTCCAGGAGCCTAAGCTCCATAGGTGTGTGCTTTGATTTGACAGCAGTCATTTCACATCAATTTAACAAATATGCAAAACAGATCATAGTTGTTTTTTTTTTTTTAATGCTGTATCACTGAGCAAGCTCTTAATATCCCGCAGGAGAAACAGCACTGTTATATATAAAATCAGTATTTATTTAAAAGTGAGAAGATGGTAGCACGTGCTTTTTACCTTTGCACACATGCGCAGCAAGATGTAACAGACACTGAACCTGCACTGAAAACAACTACAGAGTGTGCGTGCTCACCTACAGGATGACAGACATCGTGAAAGAACAGAGACTAGACAGACTTTAAATTGAAGTTCTTAGAAGAGAAATTGAGAGCAGACAAGATTACTCATTATAAAGAGCACGAGAGAAGTAAACATACAAGAAACATTCACATCAAATATGTAGTAAAAAGGAAATTGTGTACATTGTATTTTAAAAAAGACAAAACAAATAAAAAAGATTTCACTAGAACAGGCTTCCACTTAAAAACTAATCCCTGATATACTTGCAACTGCTGTTGGTTAATAAATGAACAACACTTTAAAATCCAAAAAAGAGTAAGATAAACATGTAGAAATGTATTTTGTTTCAGCTGCTGGAGACATACCCTTCAGTGATGTTTAACCATGTGACAAATACATATTTACTGACAGCCATATTCATTCAGCATACAGACATAATGTTGACAAACCACCTCCTTTAATTTGCTCTGGCCTCAAAGAAGAAAAAAATCATCCAAGAATGTAAGTCAATAGTTAATGAAAACTTTTTTCCAATATGAAACATAACAACAACAAAAAAATGTTACTTTGGAAGGGTATAATTTTATTTTTTTCCTGCAGTCTATAAATAAACAAAAAAGAGCCAATTTGAGCTCATTAGTGAAGATGTCCTAAGATGTCCTCAGCATTATTACAAAAATAAGCTATGGAAAAAAATAGGAAAACTTATCACCATTTCTAGCAGAGATATATTAATGTACCTTTTGCAATTTTAATTACCAAACAATCAGCAGAACTTAACCACACTGTATACTTTTAGTCCTGAACTGTATCCTACTGGAGCCTTCCAGCCAATGTTTGGTGTATTTTTAATCAAAATAATTTTTTTCCTGAATTACATTATTAGTTTATTATTATATTATCACCATTGTTTGAATGACTGATGTTTCTGCCACTTTGAGTGTAGAAATGATACTGTCAATTTGCTGATTTTCTGCATAGAGATACAGTTTAAATACTTACTCAGTCTTCAATAACCAATACTATATAAACTTCTACTACAACTACAGAATTTGCAACAATAAACACTTCAGTAAATGTTGCAGGGGTTGTGTTTGGTTATTTCCCCCATACACACACTGAGTCCTAATTATTCCTGAAGCAAAAAGAAAGGAGAAAATGCACTGATTAAACATCAAGCAAAATCTGTACAAGGTTTAACTTCTGGAGAAAGACCAAAGCTGAAGGAAGAGCCAGAGACAGCAACACTGCACAGAACGCTTTTTTCAGGTTCAGGTGGCTTCCAATTACAAAGCTATGAAACAGAGGCTGCACCTCGAAGTCAAGGCAACCTGAGCAAGAGATACTGCTGCTTTTTTTTCTGGGAACATATGGTATCACTGCTCCTGATGGATGGAGGGTAATCTGGGAACAAAACAGACATTTGCTTCTTATGCAAATGTCTTCGCTTTTATGGGTAGCTGGAGATCTGCAAGAATCTTGGCACTTCTGCCGATTTCAATATTTAGTGATAAAGCCTTTCAAAAGGAGCAAAGGAAAGTATGTTTTTATACACAATTTTGTTTGGAAAATCCAAAGCATGTTGTAAGCAAACAGTACGCACACCTAAAGCATGTTATTTTACTTTCTCTGATATCTGTTTTTGGCAAAGTAACTTTAATAGAAGTACACTATAATTCAGCATTGGCAGTGCCACAACAAACGTTAACAGAGATTTGAATGCTCTAATCTGCCTCAGTATTAACAATTCAGCTGGAGTTTTTTAACAGCCTATTATAAGATCGGTTGTTTTTCTTCCATAATTAAGAAATTCATTTGCTGTGGTCAGTAAACAGAAACATTTTGAAGATTAACCAGGGTTTGGTTTGTATTTTTCTGTTTTGTTTTAATTACAAGTGCACTATACTACATGTCTTTCCAAAACTGAAGGTCTTAAATTACAGTGAAAGGGTTTGACTTGTTTTTTTGTTTTGTGCTGTTTCCACCACACACATACCCTCTAAACAGTGAATGTTTCTTTAACTTGAATCAGTTTCCATGAAAAACACAACTATCAGGGGTTAACAAAGCATCCCAAAAACGTTATTAGCCCAGGCAAAACCAGAAAGATAGTTCTAAAATAAAGAATTGCCTCTTGTCAGTAGCCAGAGTCAATACACTTTGTACAAAATTATACAACAAGGGTCCTACCGAGCCCTAAGAGCACTTCCACCTGTGAATTTATGAAGGAGAAAAGCCTGTCCTGTTAGCCTCTAAGAATCTGCACATCTCAAGTGGAAGCTCTTAAACAAGCTCTGGGCAGCCTCTGAAGAGTCCAGAATACAATCAGCTACTCGCTTGCAGTGCTTGAATACTTCTAAGTAATAACATCAGATGCAAAAGCAGCATCTTTTTCTACAGATGCATTAGTCATCATCACTTTCTTAATCTGGGCACTTCACTACATAGAATGTCAGTAGTAAACATTTTCCAACAATATTCATATGTTTGCGTTTTAATTTCCACAGACAAAACAGTTTCTCTAAGCTTCATTAAACCTAGTGCTTTACTGGTAGAAACAAGTGTGAAGTAATATTAACTCAGATTAAGTGCTTACCGTTCAAAATTTCCTTTAGACATCTAAACCATGAATGACAATGGTCTTCACTGAAGTTATTCAAGTGGATAGCACAGTCTGTTAGTTTATTTTCTTCTTTATGCAAGCATTTAAAAACAGTGATACCCAACAAAGTACCACCTTTCTTCTGTCCAACAAAACGGCGACGCTTCACTTTCACTGAAAATACATCCTTCATTTCAATAATCTCCTCTTTCACCTGTAAAGCTGTACTGGAATCACCTGAAGGGAAGGGAAAAAAAAAACGTTATGAGTTGAATAGGAGTAAATATCTTTAAAAAAGCATATAACAGCAACAACAACAACAACAAAAAACTTATGGCTTCAGCACTAGCTTCAAGTTTTCACAGAATAATGGAATTATTTGAGTCAGAAAAGACCCTTGTAGGTCTTCAGGTCATCTACATCTATAGAGGGAACAGGATGCTCAGAGTGCTATACAGTCTGACCTAAACGTTTCCAGGAATGGGGCATTCACCATCTCTCTGAGCAACCTGTTTCTGTTCTTCATCACCCTCAGTGTAAAACACTTTCATTCTTATATTCAATCTAAATTTCCCCTCTTTCAGTATGAAACTATTTTCTCTTGCCCTATCACAATAAACCCCGATAAAGAGTCCATCCCTTTCTTTCTTGTAGCCCCCCTTTAGACACTGAAAGGCAACTTTCAGATCTCCCTAGAATTTTGTCTTCTCCAGGCTACTACATCTGCTTGTGCCTGTATTGAAATTTAGTGCATGTCACATGCATCAATTGCTGGTCTTAGTTTGGTCTTGTATTTTTCAAACTCTCTATTACTTAGGTTAGATATTCTGCTATACAAATACCATAACTTCAAAGAGTCTTTTGATATTGAAAGCACTAACTAAAATTCTAGACTCTAAAAAAAAAAAAAAAAAAAAGTTATGATCTCCCCCCTCCCTGCATTTGTCCTGCATTTGTTGCTTGTTGTAGCTGTTGTTACGTCCACAGGGCTAATTCTTCATTCTCCTTTGAATCAGAACTATCGGAGATCAAAAATTCTCTATGACACAAGCTGAATTCATAAACATAGCTGATTAATTATGTTTTTTTCCCCATTAATACAAATGCTATTCTTGGGGTTTAAACCAGAGCAAGATCAGAAAACAGTTGAGTAAAACCAGAAAAATAAACCAAAAGAACATCACCAACTTGTCTTCTGAATTGTATTCATAACTTGAAAAGGAAAGACAAGTAGAAGAAAGTCTCGAAAACTCCTGCAACAGTTCAAGGCTCTTAGCCCCAAGAAGAGTTTCTTCAGGCTGGAACTGAGAATTCTGTAGCTGTCATACACACTGCCATTCAATTACAATAGTTGCAAATGCCTTTCTGAGTGCTATTAAACAAGCTACTCTGGTACACACTTTTCCTGCTCCCTTAAGCTACAAAACATTTGAATCCTCAGAATCAACCTAATTCAAGTACACGACACAATTTGAAAGAAAAAAAAAAAAAAAAAAAGGCATAATTCCTGTAGGAGATGGATATTCTGGACTGGAAAAGAAAAGACCCTCTACTATCTACATAACTACAGCAGATGCAACGTGCTATAGACCAACAAAGAAAGGTCGCCTTGTAGCCCAAGGCAAGAGTAACTAGAAACCAGAGTTTCCCAAATCTTTTCCAAACGTTGCAGCAGCTCAAACGGTTTATTAGTGGAAAAGCTACAGGGCATAGTGTGTGATGAATGCCATGCACTGAGAGAAAGCTCAGGGTAAGGTGCAAAACCCTGCCGTGGTACTCTTGCTGGAGACATGAGCAGTATGAAACTGCAAAATCAGGTGCTGCCTCCCTCAGTACACCACACTGAGCTGAGCGCCTCAGCAAGTCCACCTTTTTTGAGCAGGAAAAGTCTGTGTAACCACCTGCGAGGCTCGATCCAGCATTTGTCAGCACCACCGACAGCGACCACATTTCCATCGGAGCCCCAGGGCAGCGTCCAACACGTCCAAAGGGTGAGCTGACAGCACAAAGGAACCTTCACACCTACATTGCACCACATCTGACATCTCGGTTTTTACCAACTTTACATTGCTCCTCTAAAACATTTGGGAGTAAATAGCCTTTGAAGACCTTAAATGAAGTACTTCTTAGAGAAATCCTGAATTCCTTACTTTGAACAACACATATGTTTAGGTTTTGTTTAATATGCATATTTAGTATCTGTCTTAACTTTTAAAATAGCATTTTCAAGAGGGGTCTGCTCTTTTTCCAGAAAGACTTGTGCTTTCAGGCACAAATTCCAATGAAAATTCCAGCACACACTCAACAATTTAGGAAATTTCATAAACAAGGACACACAGAATATAATGACAACTGTCCTGCAGCAGCAACGAGGCCACAGCATTTATTCACTCAGAACAGTATAAATATTTCACTTTTTTTTTTTTAATATCTTAAGTCAAATAACATTTTCAATTAACTATTAGCTTTGCTGAGATATCAGAAATTCTGTTATGCTAATGTTATACATACAAATAATAACTGGATTACAAAGTCTAGTCTATTTGCCCCGCACAGAACACGTAAAATAAGCATCTGCTAAAATACTTTCTGCTATGAGTTCCCATAAAGTAACAATCATAAGTCAGTAAGTCTCATCTTGTCTTCTCATGCTATTTCAGCCAGGTCTCAAAGCTTCCTCTCCCTCTGTATTTGTCAGTCTTGTGTTGCTGAGTTGGACATTAAAGCTTTAGATAACCAAATAAAGCACTCATAATAGACAGCACTGCACTTCCAAAAACAGTATTTGACTCCAGCTGTTTTACTGTAACATAACTTTCAAAGACAGCTTAGAGAAGTATATAAACTATAGGAACACTGAAACATACGAAAGCATAATCCTCAAATTTTAAGTTGCAGAGAAAATACCAAACAAGCTAGTAGGATCAGGGCAGCCAATTTTTACTGAGATTGGAAAGAACTCTGCATACAAGGCCTTAGGAACATCTTACAATATTTTTAATCTTCTATTTTTACTGAAAATAAGACAATTTCTAATATAGTAAAATCCTATAAAACAACTCAGGTGAAAATTTAAGTCAAGCTGTATTTATAAAATATCTCTAATGTGTAATAACAAGAAAAATTACTTTAAAAATAAAGTTTGTATTGGATTAGACTTTTTAAACTTCACCAAATCAGTTTGTTAGTATCATGTTGGTTACCGGTAGCTTTTTCAGGACATCAACTGTCCTCTCACATTACTTAGAAAGATATTGGGTACCATCTGTTCTTGCAAAAGATTTAAGTATACATCTATTAGATATCATGCTATTTATTTAATTCAGTACCCACTTCCCATTGTTGTATCTTCTGAAAAAAAAAGTCAATTTAATTACAAGGAATAAAGATAATCTCTTCTACCGGGCTGCCCTGTCATCATGAGAGCTGAGAAGGAACCTGTACAAAGTAGGTTACAGGCGTTAGGAAGACTAAAACTAGCAGTACTTAACATTTAACAAAGAACTAACAAAAACAGAGTATATGGTACTTAAAAAAAAAAAAAAAATTACTATAAGCCAAGAGCTTGTCTAAATCAATCTCAGCACATCTGTCTGATGTAGAGCGTAAACAGGATTAGAGTTGGATTTATCTGCTTGACGCTAATTGTACTCACAGTTTCTGCACATGTCCACTTTTTTTTTTTTTTTTTTTTCCCCAAATACAGCATGAAAAGAAAGCCTGCCTGATACACGAATTTCTAGGAAGTTTTATGCCTCTATTTATCCTATCACTGATTTAAAAAAAAAAATGAGACTATCCTACATTCTTCCTGTTTACAATTATCTAATCTCCTATTTAATAAAAAAGATGTCTAAATACACCATAATAAGCTAAATCAAAGGGTGAGATATTGATGCACTCAAATACAGTTTATTTGCAAATTGTAAATATTTTAATTCATTCAGAGAGTGAAATTAAGCTTTAAAAAAAATTCTCACATTTACAGCAAACTTGATCAAGAAAGGAAGTTTGACAGAAAATAGAACAGCTTGCAAAGTGCATTATTAAGACATAAACACTTCAACAGTCAAATGTTTATTGAACTGTTATCTTACAGTAGAGGCCCAACATCTAGAAGAGGTGAGTAGATCTGAGGACCTAATTCCTATAACAGATATCTGGAGTATATTAAAAAGAGAAATACACACGTGAGGTGGGTGTATGGTTCAAGTACAAGATTCGGAAATAAGGAAAAACGGGTTGTGCTTCCTTGTTCATTAATTCTTCCTAAGACCTTTAGAAAGCCATTTCCCTGCCTAACTATATTTTATAGATAAACTTATTGAAAATTTTGTCCCGTGGTGCTTTGAAAATTTGCCTCATTAATAGTTCATTGCTATATCTGAGCACAGTATAAAAACAAAATATTTAATTAGAAATAAAAACCATCAAGAATATACCAAAGAAAATTCAGCAAACAACAGTAGTTACCACAGATCTTACACAGCATGAACACTATTTTCAAAATGACCATTCCAGATATACAATAAGATATAATGGAAAAGGAAATAGATTTCATTTTTAATTCAAAGTATCTGGACAACGTGTTTACAAATTCAGGCTTAGCAGTATTTACTTAGATATAATGTTAAATAATGTCTAACGAATACATACAGGAAAGCAACTACTAACTTAAGCCTATTTTTCCCCTTAGAATGTGCAGTGAAGTGGCACGCCACTGCTTCATGAAACCACTCCAGAGTTTTCAACTGCAATATTGATTAAGAAGGATCAGTAACGAAGACTACAATGGTGCAAGTATGATCATCCTTGCCAAAAACGCTGAGAAGTGCCATATAGTTCATGTCAGACTACTCAGTATTAGTTAAACACTCCAAGCATAAGACAGAAAAGCTTTTTTCAGAACATCTGAATATTCAAGTGCTTTCTATTTCAGAAAGACAGATCATGCATCTCCTTGAGAAAAAAGTTGATGCGATGCCTCTTACTTTCTCCCATAAACAAAGAAAGAAAACTTTACTTCTTGGCCAGAATAGTGATCAATGAACTGGAGAAACGGTGAGAGAAGGCCCAGGCTTCAAAGGAGTTTCTGTTGTTTTGTTCTGTTTTTCCTTTGAAGACCACCTTTACACTACTGCCCTCCTTTTAAATGATGTTATAAAAGACATATAACTCAACCAAGGCTCTACTCCAGAAAAATGTTTTCCAGGCTGTTTGTAATGATCTCCCAGGGA